CAAACCTTCACCAACAGAAGATGGCTTGTGCTCATTTTTTTTGTTCAAATCCTTACAGTACAAGGCATATTGAACATCTTCAAAGGTCAACGATTCTATTCCATGCAAGAGAGTTTTTTTGAAGTGAGAGTGAGACTTAGGTAAATAGCACAACAACAATAATGCTTGATCTTCATCATCAATCTTGACCTCAATATTTTCAAGATCAAGAATCAACTTGTTGAACATATCTAGCTGCTCTAACAAGGATTTGTATTCACTCATCTTGAATGAATACAAAGCTTGCTTCAGGTAGAGACGATTAACCAACGATTTTATCATGTACAAACCTTCAAGTTTTGTCCATACACCAGCTGTAATTTTCTCCTTTGAAACATGCCAGAGAACCTTATCACCAAGGCTCAATACAATGGTATTGTGGACTTTTTTCGACCATCGTTGTCTTCTCCTTCTCTGATAAGGTATCAGCCATCTTGTTAAATCCTTTCAAATCTTCTAACAAACCCTGTTGAACAAGAAGGACTTGCATTTTCAAGAGCTAGAAATCGAAATCGTTCACACCGATGAATTTCTCAATCTCATACTTTATTGACGACATCTTCTTCTCCATGCTCACTGCACCAGTTTGTTGTGAATTGATGTTGTCAAGGACAAACCAAAATATGAGAAAAAGATTGAGTTTCTTGAACAAACACAAGAAACCCTATTAGGTTTTACAAAAGATAGAGAACAAGGAGGAAGAAGAATAAGAATTGGTTTAAATAGTTTTACTATTCACTTACTCAATAAGGATTCAAAGATTACAAGTGAATGCCAACAAATAACCTCTCTCAACAATCTAAGAGAACTAGCCTATTTATAGACTACTAAGCTAACTTGAGTAACAAACAAACTTATACAATTGGGCTTACAAGCAAGACCCAATTCGACATGCGAACTTAAACACAAAGCTAACGTATTTCGACAGCATGCTAAAACAGACTTTGACTACAACATGCACAACTTCAGGCGAACCAAGAAGCTACCCTGATCGACAATAGAGTTCAATCTAAATACCACATTTTTTAATCTCAATCTCAACGTCTTGTTCGTCTTTATCAATTAAAAATATTGAAGCCATAATAGTATAAATGATCTTTGAATATTTCATATTATATTTCTTTAGGAGATTCAAGCAATACTTTGTCTCACTAATGAACATGTCAATTTCTGTTTGCTTATTCTAATAAGTAATTTCACTCTCCCATTAATGACATTTCAAACTCCTCCCGCATCATACTAGCAAACTCTTTGCATAAAGATTCATGAGTGGACCCAAAAATAATTTAATTGGCATAAATATGAACTAATAATAAGATATAAAATTTCTTATGCTTATATTTTTTGGATAATGCTAACTTGTGCCCTAGGGGCACAAGTTAAGAACTAAAAGTATAAATAACATTTTAAAAATTGTACACTGCTTTTAATAAAAATAAAAGTTTTAATTTTTTATTGATGTTTCCAATATAAATTTTCTATAAATGAGTTTTTTAAATTTGTGTCCTAAAGACAAAAGTTAGCATTAGCCAAATTTTTTTAATGAGAAAACCCTTTCAATGCAAAATGAATTTAATGAAAAAAAATTTAATGCAACAAAAACATTATTTATATGCAGATAAAAACTAATTTTGATGTAGATGAAAAATAATGGATGATCAATATGTAAACAAAACAATTATGATAAGTTAAGTGCAACTATACGAAGATAGAGGAGACTGAAACTATCATATTAATTACAATGATCTAGGACTTAACTTGTTGAACAAGTAAAATTATCAAACAACAAAACTAATATATAAAAAGCACAATACGATAAAAAAAATATGATTGGACACATCTTTCTTCACTTGTCTTAAGAATCCATTAAGATTTCCAGACACTCATGCACAAAATATCAATACATTGAAATAGGTACCCATCTAATGGGTCCTTGAGGGTTAATACTAAGACACTTAGGGTTCTATGTCAAAATAACATTAGAAACTTTGATATTCCTAACATGGCAAAGAGGCCAAATGTGACATTCATCACCATAATAATGACAAGTTGCTTTATATGAAATAATCAAGGAAAGATACACCATTTTATGGTTTCACACTTGAGAATTAGTTATCAAGATTTCTTGATGAAAGAGGTAAAATTATTTTAAAGTTAAAATAATCAGGGGAATCTGATTAAAACCTTAAAATAATATTTCTTATATTTTACTCATCGAAACTTAAATGTTTCTAACTTATAAAAATGAGTATTTCAAGTGTTTTATAGATAAAAGGTGCAAACAATGACAATGGGCAAACAATGATAAAATAAGAAAAATCAACACAAGACCCAACTTGCACCAAGAAGGCAAAAACACGCAATCTCAATTGGTTAGCACAATCAATTAGAAAAGCTCGAAATAACTATTTTTATATCATATTCAAGCTTAACGTATGACTCAAGAAAACCAGATCTCAACATTTATGAAGATATCACAAAATCTTGAGGTATTGGAACACCTAACCGATTAGAACCACAATCTAATCGATTAGGAGACTAAAAAATGAGATTTTGGATCTGATTTTTGAGCAACATAATCTACACATAATGTTTGCTTGGAATACATGCTGAAAACCTCAGGAAACATGCTATAAATAGGTAAAAAAAACCTTAGGAAGCACGCTATAAATAGGTAAACACCTCCTCACTTTCTCTTGCATCTCATACAATCATGTATCTTTTCTCTTGTGAGCTCATCCTCTTGCCATAAGTTTTAACATGGCCTTCTCCAACAGAATGAATTCCTTCTCCGCCGGAATAATAAATCAAACACAAGAAGAAAAAATTATGATCCTATCAAAAAGGGTTATTCAACCCTGGTTCCTTGATCCTAGCCGCCTAAAAATCCACAAGCCCTACCACACATTTGGCATGCTTCCCTCAAAGAACTATTCACAAAATTCCTGATAAGATCTTTCCAAGCTTTGTAAAAGAATTCTACTCAAACCTAAGACATGTACGAACACATCTAAAATCAGCCGTAAGAGGAGTTGAAATAGCTATTTTCATGGCACAGTAAGCCAACTGAGACATATCTCATAGCTGATGAATTACCATATCTTTCCTACGACATATTTTAGACCTAAAACGACCATTTGAACTAACTTGTATTCGAGAATACGAATACAAGTGAGGATCATGCTTTCATTTTTTGAAATATGTAAATGTAGTCATCGAGAGACTCATTAGTCTTTCTTAGAATATTTGTTTGTGTTGACCAAGTAACTTCAAACATAATAGTGGACACGATTGAATTGTGATATTTAAAATTCATAACTAATTTAATTTTAAAATATTTTTTATTTTATAAAACAATTACGTTAGAGAATATAAGTAATATAGAAAAAAGATAGAGATAATGAAAGATATGCAGCAAACATAAAATAAATAAGAAAAAATAAAGAGAATATATATATATATATATATATATATATATATATATATATATATATATATATATATATATATATATATATATATATATATATATATAGAGAGAGAGAGAGAGAGAGAGAGAGAGAGAGAGAGAGAGAGAGAGAGAGAGAGAGAGAGAGAGAGAGAGAGAGAGAGAGAGAGAGAGAGAGAGAGAGAGAGAGAGAGAGATTACTTCTTAAGAGTTTTCATTTAAATGATTTGAGTTTTTTCCAGTATTTGCTCACAAACCTTCTTAAGTGGTTAGGTCGAACATGTTTAAATCTCTAGTGCACTACCTCTAAACTTTTCTTTTTAATTTATGTTAAATATTTTATTTCTATTGCATTTCTCTTTTCTTCTTATTCGTTCTTATATTTTATTCTAAATCTCCAGAAAAAAGTTTTCTAAATTTTTTTTTTTATAAATTAATCTCGAATTTTGAATATCACACTCAGACATCTTGTGTTTAAAATCACTTCGTTAGCAACTACATGCATGTCTAACATCATTTCGCTTAGATAAAACTATTATCCAAATCAGAACTTTCTCACAAAACCTTATTACAATAAGAGATTTTTCATTCATTAATATCCAAATCAAACAGAAATTTCATAGATCAAATGGTTAGTTCAAACCTTTTTAAATCTCTAATGCACTTTTTCTAAACCCTTCTCTTTTTAAATTATGTTAACTATTTTAATATTCTGTTACATTTCTCTCTTCTTCGTTCTTTTATCTTATTCTTATCCTCTAACATGAACATTTTTAATAAATAAAAAAATTTATAAATTAATCACAAATTTTAAATATCACAATTCAACCATTTTTTGTTTGAAGTCACTTGATTAACGACCGCACCATATTCAACACATGGTTTTGCTAGGGTAAAACTAATATATATAAAAACTAGGATTTACTCATAAACCTTCTTACAACAAACAAGAGATTTTCACATATCAATATTCAAATTAAATAGAGATTTTTCACAAGTTGTGTGGTTCCGATGAACATGTTTAAACCTCTAGTGCATCTATCATCTCTCTCATTTGGAAGTTATCCCTTTATATTTTTCCGACATCACCCTTCATCTCATTCAAAGATGCATTTTGAATTTTCGAATTTCATATATAACAATCTTCATAAATTTTAAAGTTTAATTAGTGTTAATTTTTTTCTTCTTTTCATAAAGCTTTTTTTAAAAAGAATATGCAACTATGAAAAGGTGTTGGAAAGACACTTTTAATAATATTAAGTTGGCTTCAATACAATAGTGTATGTTTTTATGATGAAATGAAACCATGGAATCCACCACTAGCCAGTAAAGTATCATTGGCTCATTGTTACACTAGCCAGTACGCAATCTGCAAACAGAACTACTCAGAGAGATAGACATGCGACGAAAAACAAAAGAAATTATGATTTAAAAGTATCATTCACATTTTCTTTTTCTTCCGGTTCAATCCAATTTTCAGATTTTACATTACTGAACACTTTCGAAAACAGTTATGGCAAAACTCAGGCATTCTCGGGTAGGACTTTCTAAACCATTGCTATCAACTTCAGGGAGATTGATCATCCTCGCCTTGTTTGTGACCTTCACAATCCTCGTTCTCATTCTCTTAGCATTCAACTACCTCAACTCCACCTCTCGCAATGTACTCAGGTTTATCTTCAATTCCATTACTACACCTCTTTTTCCTTTCTTTATCTCTAATTCTTATATATCATATGTAGCAGCAAAGATGGTGCTGGAGGGCGTTGGGTTGAAACCATATCATGGGAGCCTAGAGCCTTTTTATATCATCATTTTCTGGTCAGTTTTTTTGTTTCATTTTCCACTAGAGAGATGGTTTGCAAGGCAAATCCTCTAATATAGTATGAATGTTACAATGTTTGCATTTCTCAAATGCTAAGGCTTAACTGAATGATCTGAACAGACAGATGAGGAATGTGAACATCTAATCAATATAGCAAAGCCAAGTATGCATAAGTCAGTTGTTGTTGATTCTAAAACCGGAAAGAGTGTGCTCAGCAGGTTAGATTTTTCCTTTTCGACCCGAAACTTCTTTATCAAGTCTCTTAAATCTCCTTTGCAATGGTAAACCTTTTGTTTACATATCCTTTTGCATCTAGTATACGGACGAGCTCTGGAAGTTTCCTCAAGAGAGGAGCTGATAAAATCGTAACGAATATTGAGAAAAGAATAGCAGATTTTACTTTTATACCTGTAGGTGCATTTTCTATTCGTTCTTTTTTATTTTTTCCATTTTTGAACAACCATTACTTCAGCTGTATTAACAATATTCAGACCACGGGGAAGGCCTTCAAGTACTCCATTACGAAGTTGGACAAAAGTATGTACCTCATCTGGATTACTTTAGAGATGAGTATAATACTCGGAATGGGGGTAACCGTATAGCAACAATGCTGATGTACCTGTAAGTGACTTAAGTTTCATTCACTCATTGTTGATTTCAATTTTCTTCTGGGATATATATGAAGTTGATAATGGTGTGCACTTTTTGTATTTTGGATGATACAGTTCAGATGTTGAAGAAGGAGGTGAGACGGTGTTTCCATATGCTAAGGGAAACTTTAGCTCTGTGCGTTGGTGGAATGAGCTTTCTGATTGTGGAAAAAAAGGAATTTCGATTAAGCCAAAGATGGGTGATGCTATATTTTTCTGGAGTATGAAACCTAATGCAACTTTAGATAAATCAAGTTTGCACGGTTAGTTAGTTGCTCTTTTATTTATGATCTACCGTGTGTGTCAATATGGTTGCATTTTATTTAAAGAAGATGAATTCACAAAACTGTTTGTATCTTATAAATATCAGGTGCATGTCCTGTAATCAAGGGTGATAAGTGGTCATGTGTCAAATGGATGCGGGCTGATCAATACAAAACCTAAATATGTATAGTTAACCGTTGCCAATGTTAGAGTTTGATCCTATACTACAGATTTTATAAAGAAAAAGATATTGACAAAGGATATAAATAATTTGTGGTTGATTTAGGGTCTGTTTGGTTCAAATGAGGGGGAGGGGAGGGGAGGGATTTTAATGAAGGGGAGGGGAGGGGAGGGGAGGTGAAGGAATTTTTTAATCAAATAAGTGTTTGGTTCAAAAGAGAGGAGGGGAGGGGAGGGGAGGGATTTTAATTAAAAATGTGTTTGGTTCAGAAGGGGAGGGGAGGGGTTTTATTAATAATTTACATTTTTATCCTTATGATCTTATATAAGTCATACGATATTAAAATGTGAAAAATCCGTGCGTATTTTTGTTGGTAATAAAATTTCTAATATTGAGTGATTAAAAAAATATTTATTTGTCACATAAAGTTAAAAAATTGAGTATAATTGATTCGACTTATAACTTTCCAACATAAATTAAACTATATGCCAATAACATCGTTTAAATTATGATGAATCATATAACAAAACAAATATATAAAATAACTTATTACTAAATATTAATGGTTCAAAATATTTAATAAAATGAATAAACAAAAATAAATAAAATGATATGGTTTACAATTTGATATAAAAGAAAATATGATAGAGTACAGAACAAAATTAAAAGAAAAAAACGAATATAACGAAACATAATTTTTTTATAAAAAAAAGACAATGATTATGATTTATATTAATTATAAAAATTATAAAATAATTTGAAGGTGGAGAACAATTATAATAAGTTGATGAAAACAATCGAGAAAAAACAGTAACACAAAAGATAACAAATAGTTTTGAAATAATAAAATTAAACTGGGGATATTTTAGTAAATATAATAAATTTTAAATATTAAAACTCATATTCCCTCCCCTCCCCTCCAAATCCCCCCAATTCGGAGGGAACCAAAAAGTGTGTTTTGGAGGGATTTTGCTCCCCTCCCCTCCCCTCCCCTCCCCTCCTAAAATTTGAACCAAACATATTTAATTAAAAATTTCCCATCCCCTCCCCTCCCCTCCCCTCCATCTACCCCGAACCAAGGAAGAAAAATATATTAATTGCAAATAATAAATGTCGAAAAAGTGAATTATGTATGGTTAATTGTTTTTATAGAAAAGATTTTTGCGATAGTGAGTTTAAATGAAAATATGTTATTAATGTAATAAAAGAAAATATATTAAAAAAAACGAATATTGAGAATTTGTTTAATTGTTTGATTTGTTATAATTATGATTTGTATTTAAGTAATAATCGAATCAAAATAGATTTGACACCATCATTATTCATTACTAATATTTTTAAAGTTTATTTTATATTTAAAAGAATTTTCAATGATCAAACTTAAAGAGATTCGGAATAATCATCTAATAATCAAATCAAAAGTAAATTTGTCACAGCTATTAACGACATCTTTAAAGTACGTTTTATATGACCCTTCACTTGGATTAGATGGTAAATGATCTCTTCTATCTTAAAAAAAATTTGACATAATTATTATTGATATTATTTATTCATATTTTAATTAGAGAAATATTGCAATAAACGAACTAAAAATAAATTTAACGTAGAAATTGATATTTGAAATGTATATATTAACATAATCAAAAGCTAATTTGATGCAATTATGAATTGCTTATTTATTTATTTATGTTTGTTAAATTTATTAAGGAGTTACAACTAGAGAATTAGAAATGGATGCTCTAATTCTATGAAGAAACCATAAATAGATTTAGATAACTGTTTGTTAGCATATTATTATTATTGAGCTATCTTAACCATACACATGTATAATTAGTTACATTAGTTTGTTTGATAGTTATTAACTGATGCATATATTGGATATTGAATCCAATTTGTAACATAAGAATAATAACAACTTTATCTCTTTGCAAGTTATCTTTTACTTTTTCCAAGCTTGCTTCATTTTCTCCACCATTTTCATGGAACCTGTGCAAGATTATGCACCATTAACATGGTATGAAAGCTTCCAAAGCTCTGGTAGCAATTATTTCTCAGATACATTTCTTTCATAGACTCAATTTCTGCTTCTTGTTTTTCACTTTCTGTTTCTTTATTCATGAATCAATGGCCTACCAGAGTTACAATGATTTTTCCACGAATTCCATCAATCCTTACTACTTACATCCAAACAAAAATCTAACACTTATTATTATTTCTCCATAGTTTGATGATAAGAACTATCATACTTGGTTAAGATCGATGCGCATTGCTTTGATTTCCAAGAACAAAGAGAAGTTCATTGATGGAACCCTAACCAAACCCCTGGCAACAGATTCTCTATATGCTCAATGGATTCAATGTAACACCATGGTTCTTGCTTGCCTTCACCATTCAATTTCTGAATCCATTACCAAATATGTGTTATGGATTGATAGTGCCCTGCTGTCTGGAAAAATTTGCATATTCGCTTTTCTCAAAGAAATTTATATCACATTTTAGATATTCAAGAGGATTTATATAAGCTTCGTCAAGGTACTCTTGATGTGTCTAACTACTTTACTCAGATGGAAGTTTTATGGGATGAATTGAATAACTATCGTCCTGTTCTTGCTTTTTCTTGTGCAATCCCTTATTCTTGTGGTGTGATTGCCTCTCTTCAGAAATATTGTGAACAAGATTGTGTGATCCGTTTTCTCAAGGAATTTAATGAAAAATTTAAACACTCCAAATTAGAAATAATGATGATGAATCCATTACTATACATTGGCAAAGCATTATCCACTGTTATTCAACAAAATGGAGAGATGAACAATTTGGTATTTTCTATGATTCCAATTTCTATCAAAAATGGGAAACCTAGTTATTCTAAAGAGAAGACACAAGGCTTTAGTGGTGTTAGAGGTCATAACCTTGTATGCACTCACTATGGTAGAATGAATCACACTACTAAAACTTGTTTTATCAAGCATGGATTCCCACTAGGATTTAAATGGAAAGGCAAATCTCAAAGTGCTGGCAATAGTCTTCGATCCACAACTGTAGTTAACATTCCCTCTAACTCTTCTTAACAAGGTTCATCTGCATCATCATTTGGATTCACTCAACAACAATACAACAACATCATATAGTTGCTCCAACAGTCTAAGCTCATCCCTAAAGCCAATTCCATTTTTACCTCCCCTTTTGTCATGAACTCACATTCATCCAACCCTAATGGTAAGAATCTCCATCTCTGGATATTAGATATTAGAACACATATTGGTTCTTAATTATATCTCTATGTTTTGATGATAACACTAATGAAATTTTGTATTAAGAAATTATATACTCTAAATTTGTTCAAGTATTTTTGCTGCAGATATTAAATTTAATATTCTTCTGAAAGCAAAAATGGATCTGAACGTTGAACTATGCAAGGCTCTGAGCGTCAGAAGCATATAATTAGAAGACTCTGAGCGTTTCCTACAGAAGACCCGGAGCGCTGCCTACAGAAGACTCTGAAGGAGAAGCTACAGAAGCGTTTGAAGCATAGACTAAAGACTTTGTATGAAGAGTTTCAAGCATTGTTTTTCGGAAGACTCTGATAGTACTGTTCGCTGCAAGTACTAAGGATCTGATCTCCAAACTCTGCTCTGATTGTTACTCACGCTGAAGCACACTTGCTGCAACACTCTTATACAACAAACTCTGATGACATCAAGACTCTGATCACTCAAGGTTCTGATGTTGATTGTTGTGAAATAGAAACTTGTTGAAGAAGATTATTCAAAGTTATATCCGTTGGTTATGCCAAACGACTCTTTCCTCTTTCATGCTAGACACAAGAACTCAGGCAAAAAGGATTACTCTGAACGTTCTACTTCTAGGAAAGGTCAAGTGATGTGAAGACAAAAGGTTACAGCTACTTTGCAGTACACGGTCTTCAAGCTTGCAACGTCTTGGACTTCTTTGTCTATATAAGCAAGCCTTCAACAACTTTCTTTAGTTGAAGTATTTTGACAAATTCATTGAAAACTCGCTCAAAGCTCTCATACAAAATATATTTCTTTGTTGAATAGTTTCATACGTTCTTAAACTTAAGTGTAAATCACAGTTGTGATATAGCTTTCTTAGAAGCATTTCATACACTTGTTTAGTTTACATTTGATTGTAAAAGTTCCTTAAAAAGACCAAGTTGTGGTCAGTAGTTCTTGAGAAGACTAAGACAATTGTTCTTAGTGGTTGTTATTGTAATCAGTTTGATTATAGTGGATTAAGTCCTTGTGGAGAAAGGCAAATCACTCTTGATAGGGTGGACTGGATTAGTTGAGTTCAACGAACCAGGATAAAAATTTGTCTGCAAAATTCAACCAACTTCCAAGGAACTTTTGACCTAGAAGGGTGTTTCTCCTCAATTTTTGGCCAACATAAAAGTTGTAGGTCTTGATCTTAGATTTACAAATTGTACTAGAAGTCTTCCATATGATTTGTAGAACTCAAGTTATGAGGTTTACAAGTCAGGGGTATTTTGGGAAAGTGAGATTATAGGTCATTTGGCATTATAGGTCATTTTCACTATCTTGCACACTTCAAATGAAGTTTTGTCCAACACAAAACTTGCTCAAAATGGGATTTTAACTTCAACCATGTATTTGTGAGGCTTTGATTTGTCTTAGGGCAAGAATTGGTTTGAAGAAACTTGGCAAAGGGGAAATTAAAAGGCCTTTAAGGTGAAAAATTCAAATTAAATCATGAGAGTTCAAACAAATGCATATGAGTACTCATTTTGACAAGAAAGACCATTTGGAGCACATTGGCATTGTTAAAAAATCAGTTTGAGGCATAATTCATGGCATTCCACTTTGTTACTTCATGGTGAAGTTGCACTTCCAAGATCCACCATAGGATGAAAGTAAGGACTCAATCCTGTCCATTCATGTTCCATAGGTCATGTGCAAGCTATTTGAAGCTTCTTAGAGCTGAGAATGCAGGGAATTCGTGTATTCCATAGTTAAGATTT